TCCCTCAGCTCTTCAGCTCAAGGCGAGCGCTCTACCACTTGAGCTACAGCGCCACTTCCGGTTTTCTAGTGGTTTATTGGAGATAGGAGTCTCACAGTCTTTCCTGCCCGGGCTGGCTTTGAACTGCGATCCTCAGATCTCAGCCTCCTGAGTAGCTAGGATTACAGGCGTGAGCCACCAGCGCCCGGCAAGTAACCAATCTTTTTGTTGTATAAATTGTTCCCTGGAAATGATTACATACACATATACACCACTCCTACAGACAGAGATAACAAGGCAGACCTAGGCCTAGTGGCTCATGTCTGTGATCCTAGCTACTCAGGAAGCTGAGATCCACAAGACTGTAGTTCAAAGCCAGCCCCAGACAGAAGTTCATGAGACTCCATCTTTCACCTAGCCTTCAAAAAATAGGTCTAAAGGCATGGTTCAAGTATTGAACACCAGCTGAGAAAGAAAGTTAAGCAAATGCAATACCCTGAGTTCAAACCCTAGTACTGACAAAATAAAAAAGCAAGACTGCAGACAGACCAACTCCACTGGAATCTCCAAGCAGATAGTGCTTGTGACATCAGATAGGTGGAGAGATATTAGAAAGACGCTGGGTAGAAGCACCTGATTAAAAAAGTATAGAGTCTCCCAAAATGTCTTCAACTCAGTGCTCTGAAGCTAACCCTCTTGTCAAAGTCAGGGTAATGAATACATAGATGTTCCTTTGACAAGCTGTGACAGTCGCTGGTGAAGATTGTGAAGCTTGTATGAGACCACGTAGGTAAAATATTTGAAGAATTGGGAAAACTCAAGGCCACAGACATGTACACATATGAATAAGAGTTAACCTTGCTCTTCATTGGGAGGAGTGCCTCTAAGAGGGCAAAAATTGATCCTTGGGATAAGGTGGAAAATAGCCTTCCTTTGAGAGTATCTCAACCTTTTTCTTTCATTATAACCAAACCCCAGAGTGTTTTTTTAATTTAAATTTTATTGTAAAGGTGAGATACAGAGGGGTTACATTTATGTAAGTATGGCAAAGAGTACATGTCTTTTTGAAGAGTTTTACCGCCTCCCTCATTTATTACCACTCCCCTCCTCCCCAACTCTAGTACAGTGGCAAAATACTTGCCTAGCAGGTGCAACGCTCCTGGTTCATTAATATCCAGTACCATACAAAACAGAGCTTTTAAAAGGTATTGTCCTTGTACCTGTAATGAAAATTTAGAACTCCAAATATATTCATTATCTATTCACATACTGTGGCCCTTGAAAGCATTGCAGCTCATTATAATATAATATAATACAATTATAATAGCTGGGATCCAACAATATCTATGGAAACATCTTTGCTATCCACACCCCCTCAAGATGTGGATTGGGAAGTTGAGACTCAGAAATAGGTATGATTTAGTCACTAGTTGACACTGTAACTATGATTTTTCTCTGTGGACTTCAATTTCTCCTCCTTGTAGATAAGGAAGGGTGGAGACTACATGACCTTTAAGGATATTTCCAGCTATGGAACTGTAAAGGACATCTCACTTTTCAAAAACCAAGATGTAAGGATTACTTTGGAAGACAAGAGGAATTTGTTTGCATACACAGACATAGATTTTCATAAAATCATTTTGAATTTTCTTGAGACTGATATTTCTTTTCAGTAGCATACAGAAAAGAACTACAGAATTCTTTCAGCACATAAAAGCTGAATTACATTTATTGTAAAAGTCATCTGCAATAAGAGAGTCTGTGGGACCCATAACTAATCACTTTATAGTTGTACCTACTCATTTTCCAGAGACAGTTACTCTGACATCTTGAAAATGAAAATTTTCACAGTTGCATACAAAATATTTTGAGAAAACATATACAAGAAAATTAAAATAGCCAAATCTGTCATCCATTTGTTCTTTTCCATAAAATACTATATTAGTGGATTTCTTACATCCAGCTATCAAAAATTGAAAATGTTAAATTCTCTTATAAAATACTATAAAATTGTCATATATAATATTCATTACACATAAAAAAGAAATCAATATGTCTAAGTCAGTTTAATCATGACCATTATCAAGGCTAAAATCTTTTGCAATAAAATTTTACTAAACTATTTAGTAGTGCTATATTTTTAGTCTTTTTGACACCTGATTTCAGCCTATCATTTATGATGAAAATGATGTGGTTGCTGTCAACAGTCAGACTCCAGCCTCACATTTTTTATGACAGTAGTATCAATCTGTAACACTCCTCCTGGGACTGGGCTTGATGTACCTGTGAACAGTTCTAAAGGAAGAGTTGGATGTGTTTGTTGTCCATGAATGTTAACAGAAGCACAGCTTACTTGCAAGCGCTGCATAATAGACACATCCAAGTCCAGTCTGTTGAATGAATTTAGTGATTAGCAACTACTCAAAGCATTGATTTGGTTTGTCATTCACCCAAAAGATAACAATAATAATGCCACATCACCCATAGAATGTATGGGTTGTATTTTTCTCTTTTCAGCCAGCTTCAGTATCATGACAATAGGACCATAAGCTAGCTGTTTCATCATAGATACCAATATATACATCATCTCTCACACAAGCCTTCTGAAGCAGGGCATGAGCGACAGCGAATGCTCCATTACAGGGGCTGTTTTGTGCATTGCAGTTTGTTTAGCAGCATCTCTGCCTGCTAGGTGTTCTCTTTCCCCTGACATGACATTCCAAAATATCTCCAGGCATTGCCAAATGTTTTTTTTTTCCCTTGGGGGGGGGGTGTAAAGCAAAAGGGTAAAGGACAATGTTCCTTTCCATTGTGAGCTATTCCTTTATATAAAGGATAAATGAGGGGCTGGGAAGGTGGCTCAGTGGTAGAGCGCTTGCCTTGCATGCCTGAGACCCTGGGTTCGATTCCTCAGCACCACATAAGCAGAAAAAGCCGGAAGTGGCGCTGTGGCTCAAGTGGTAGAGTGCTAGCCTTGAGCTGAAGAGCTGAGGGACAGTGCCCAGGCCCAGAGTTCAAGCTTCAGGACTGCCTTAAAAAAAAAGAAAAAAGAAAGGATAAATGAGAGAATCGTTTGACAAGTTGTCTTCTTGTTTCAGTTTGAGAAATTTGGCAAAGCTGTGAATTATGCTGATGCCGCTCTGTCCTTCACCGAATGCGGCAATGCCATGGAACGTGACCCTCTGGAAGCCAAGTCCCCGTATACTATGTATTCCGAGACTGTGGAGCTCCTCAGGTAAATGACCTTTCTACTTCAGCTCCCTAAGCTCATTTCACTCAGAATCAGAAGCTGCATATTAATGAGGTGTCCAAGGCATCTTCTTAGAAGTCATCATAATTAGTTCTTGCCATTCTATTAAGGCCATGGAAAATTTATAATTGATTGACATTGTTTGATAAATTAGCCCCTTCAGAGGTTATAATATGAGACTTATAAATTGTAATATTCATAAAATTAAAATGGAAATGGAGCAGGTTCAAGTCAAATACAATCCTTTTGCCATTTGGCATTGCCTTGTCTTTTCAAAGGTTGGTTTGTAATTCAAAAATAAAGTGGTACTCTCAGGATTTCTATTGCAAGCCATATTTTCTCTGACTTTCTATGTTGGTTATTAATAAGTGAGGGAGCATTGTTCCAACATAGAGTTGATGTCTAAGTCTGCAGGTGTGTCTCAAGATTCCAAGTATCTGGAAAAAAGAAAATCAGAGTGGTTGCCAGGGTGTGGGTAGAAATGAGAAGATAATAGCAGAAGAGTCTGTTAGCTGTATATATTACTGCTTTCACTGACATTTTAAATGAAATGTTCTCACCTAGTGGTCTTTGTGGAATACAGTTTATAGAAAATTAACAAAACAAAAGCCCTAGAAGAACAGCAAGAGGTGGAAAGGAAGAAATATACTTTCGATTTTCACCATTTTGAAAATATTAATAGAAGGATTTAATGTATTCTGAAATAGAAGCTAAGCATTGCCCTTCAGTGGATGCACTAATCAGATTTATTTCTCCAGTTAGTTATTTTGGTACTGAGGATGGATCCAGTGCCTTCTGCTTGCTGCAAGTCAATAACTCTACCATCTAACTTTATCTACATCTTTGAAAGTAATCACTTCTCTTAAGATCCGCTGGCTTACACTTGTAATAGTAGCTATTCAGGAGGAATGTCAGTTCAGACTAGAAAGTATGTGTGACTGTTTGTTAATTGTCAAAAGTGATGTACAGAGGGGTTACAGTTAGGTAAGTAAGGTAATAAGTACATTTCTTGTTGAACCTGTTACCCCTTACTTCAATATTCTCCTACTTTCCCTCTCCCATCCCCTCCCCCCAAGTTGTACTGATCATTTCCAACATAGTGTCTTCTGAGTATCACTATTGCATAGGTTCTTTCCTTGTCCTTTTTCTCACCATTTTGTTGTTCCCTTCCCTTCCCTAATTCAGATATATATCTAGGATAATTTTAGAAGATGAGCAGAATAGCTCAATAGCTATGTACATATGAGTATATAAGATGATGCTAAGTGAAATGAACCCCAAGACATGGACATTGAGAGCTTTTTCTTCCTTGTTGTTGTTTTTAATGTACTAAGTGCTTTCTTGTTTCCTTTGTGTGTTCTTCACCCTATGGTTTATCCCTTATTTTCACTGTATTTGATTTTGGATTCTGGGTATTGTGAGATTCTTATCCCCAATTAATCACCAAAAATCATAAATAGACATGAATTCAGTTGGTACATTGCTAGCCTTGAGCAAAAAATCTCAGGGACAGTGTTTGAGTTTAAGCCCCAGAATCAGCACATGCGCACACACATACTCACAAAATCACTTTGACAATGTGGGCACTTCTTTACCTTATGGGTCCTTTTATGTGTGTGCTGTTACTAGGACTTGAACTCAGGGCCTTAAATTATCCCTTGGCTTTTTTGCTTAAAGCTGGCACTCTACTACTTGAGCTACACCTCTGCTTCCAGCTATTTGCTTGTTAATTGGAGATAAGAGTCTCATAGGCTTTTCTGTCCAGGCTAGCTTCATATCATGATTCTGTATCTCAGCCTACTGACTAGCTACAAATGTGGGCTGTCAACACCAAGTTGATAGGCTCTTTTTACTCTCATGCTTGTACCTGCATAAATGAATAAATCTGAGGTCTTTGTATCGAGTCAATTGGACAGACAGTGGACAGATTTATTATATGTATTTTCCTAGGAAAGTGTTTCCAAAGGTACAAAGTATAACTATTATGAAAATCAACTCCACTCAAGTGGAATCAGAAGTTTATGCCCAGAACCAATGGTGCATGCCTGTATTCCTAGCTACTCAGGAGGCAAAAACCTGCAAAAACATGGTATGAACTCAGCCTAGGCAAGTAACTAGCAAAAAGTTGTATGAAGGCATGGTTCAAATACTAGAGCACCAGCCATGAATGAAAAAAGCTGAAGAGAGTACAGGCCCTGATTTCAAACTACAGTACCAAAGTTTATTTAGAGGGATAAATTCAGGATGATTACAAGGAAAGCTGCATCATTGCCTGACTAATCAACCAGTCATTTTTTTCTCTTGGAGCCTCTCCTAGATACGGGCGCTCAAGAAGTGCCTGTATCCTTTAAGGGAGCCCACTTCCTGCAATGTGAAATCTGACACCTCTACTATCACTTGGTAGCTTTCAAGGGGAAATCGATTTCTTAGCATAGTCAAGGATACCTGTAATTTTCAAAGTTGCACAAGATGAACATTCTGTCAGAAATTATAATGATTAAAAATTGAGGAAAACAGTAAACAAACATGTAGAAGATTCATGTTCTCTCGTCACTCAAAAATGCAAATTAAAACAAGGCATATGTTAAATTAAAAAGAAAATTTTAGCAATGTTATGAGTTCACATCAGCATGAAAAGGAAAAGTAAAATAGTGTTGAACTAGGGTCCTCTTATACTGCCGATGGGAACAAAAATTTATCATTGGAAATTGAGGGCAATTTAGAATTGTATGAGAAAAGCCAGACAAGCAAGCATTTATAATATTTAACACAGTACTCAGCTTCTAGAAATTTCATTTTCCTTTACTGAAGGAAATAACTAGAAGAGTAGACCATGTTATCTGCATGCTGTCACATCCTAGAATATTCCACCATGTTTTTGGAACCATTGAAATACAATAGTGATCAATACTGAGGATCCACATGAAAATGTTTATAAAATAATGGTGAAGTAAAATCAAAGCGTGGAGTGTAGTTCAATGATCGGTGCTTGACTAGCATGTGGTGGGAGGCCCTGGATTTGATCCAAAGTACTGCAGAATAAAGTAAAATTAAGCTATAGAGTTATACGCACACTACAATAACAACTATGAAAAAAAATGTGTGCATCTGGTTCAAAGCGGAAGGGCAGTGAGATCATAACTGTATGGAGGGGACCTTATGGGTGTTTTCCCTGTTTCCATATGTTTTCTTTCTCATTAAGTTATTTAAATGGAAAGATATAATATCTTTAAAATATTAAAAAACAAAATAGCAATTTCTATTTCATAGTCCCAATGTGACATGACTCATTAAATAGTACTTATCTCCACTAGGAAAGATTTATTTTTCTTAATTATTTCCAAATATTTCTGTTACCTTAAACATGATTTATTTCTCATTGTATTATCATGGAAGTGTAGTTCCATAGAACCTGATGGAAATCAATAGATAAGTTGTTGTTATTCTTTAGAATCAATATTTTCAATGTTTATTTTGAGGTAATTGTATATTCATGTGCACTTATAGTCACAGGTGCAGACAGTTCCATTGTCCACTGGAAAAAAATATGCAATTTACTTAGTTCAGTTGTATATGAAATTAGTTGTGACTTTTTATCTTTTATATATTCTCTTAGTTACATATATGTATATGTATATGTTATATATATATATATATATATATATATATATATAAAATGAGAGAAACTTCTGATGGAAGTTAAATAAGTAAAAGCTCACTAAGCCTTGTGAACCACTTATACAATTCAAACTCCACTGTCAAGTCATTTCAGATGTACTTGCAATTAGAAGGTGACTAATACATGAATGTAGATTTAGTAGTGCAATAATATGTTGAAGTAGTGCAGTGTACCCAATCAGGAAGTGAGACCCTATCCTAAAATAGACAGTGAAGAAACAATGTGTGGAGTGGTGATTCATACTAGCCTAACAAGTGTGAGGACCTGAGAAATTGAATAGCCCAAAGCAAAATGGCCTGGGGTCTTGACTGAAGTGGCATTGCCTAGCCTACTAGGGTTAGAATGCATTGCCTAGCAAGGCGAAGGCCCTGAGTTCTAACCCCAGTAATGCTCCCCAAAAAAACCTGAATAAGAAATAAGAAAATTAGGCATTGGACAGGCAAGCCCAATGCACTACAAGCTTTCAGTTGCCTTCTTGTAAATGAAATCTAGCCTAGACTGCCTGATTGCACAATTCAAAGCTTCTTCTGGCACACTGAACTCTATTACTTATTCTCCCACGAGTACCTCTGAAATTACATTACAGCTCACACAATGATTTTATGCAATGAATTAATTTTCAAGAGTCTAAATGCCCAGAATGGAATGTACTAGGCTAAAATGGGAAAAAAAAAGAAACTACTCAACCTTTTATCACCGTAATGTGGAAGAGTAACAATTAAAAAGAATGGAAGGACAAAATATACAAGCACCATAAACGTAGGGTGCTTAGACTTTAAAATGCTGTGAAATCGACCTTCCTTTAAAGAAAAAAGCACACCTCTTTCCACAAGAGGATATTCAAAATCCAAGCCATTAGGAAAGACCTGTGGATGAGATCTCTGATGCCCATGCCAGACAGACTATTTCATGATTTTTATTAGTTACTTCACCTGTCATAAACTGAACCAAGGCTGGCATTGTTTCCACCTCTCATTGAAAACCAATAATGTTCCTTAGCTTCAATGTTCCTGAAACAGTATTTGCTGGCATTTATACACACAGATTCACACAGACATTTCAGTATCTTGTTGTAGGATACAGGCTGGTAATGCAGCTGGCTTCTCCAGCATTCCATTACATCCATGCTATTGTGTGGTATACACTATCCATTTGCATAGGTTTCAGGAAAACTACCAGTAAAACCTTCTGCCTTGAAGTAAAAGTGGGAATAACCAACTCGGGACATCAGAATTGCAGAAGGGTAATCCAGATTCCATGTGAGATTTTCTTTTATCTTTAAAGGTATGCAATGAGGCTGAAGAACTTTGCAAGCCCCTTGGCTTCCGATGGGGACAAAAAGCTAGCAGTGTTATGGTAAGTCCTGGTTGAAATGCCATGGGAGGATGTGGAAATTCCCCATCAGCTTTAGTTGCTTATAGAACACCACAATTCTGGTTTTCAACTGACCTTTTACGGGATAACTAATGGGATTTTTCAGTTGCTCATTCAACATTTAGTCTTCTCATTTATTTATCAAAATAGGAGTCGAACAATTCACCCTTACTTTAAAAATGTTTTCTTTATTTACTTGGGTTTCTTAATCTAACCATAGGTGAGTTATTGTAAAATATGACTTACTCTTTCTAGTTTCTACGTTTCTTTAGATCCTGGCATTCACATGATCCTTTCTTCTTCTCCCACAGCTACCGATGTTTATCACTTCTCTACTTAAGGATGTTTAAACTGAAGAAGGACCATGCTATGAAGTACTCCAGATCACTGATGGAGTATTTTAAGGTAATCCTTCTTTGGTATGATTTGTACGCACAAAGTAATTTTAAAAATCCCTAATCAATACGTCAGGAATATTATTAAATGTCAGATGATTAGCACGTGGTCGTTGCTGCTAAGGTCATTGCATCTCTGTTCTGGGGCTCAGCAATCCTTTGACGATTTCATGGATTGACCATATGGCACTCAGTAGCCTTCTGGTGATAGGTAGTCGATGTTCTGCGCTGCTTCCTTCAAAGTGGGCAGAAGTAGTGGCTGTGGGTATATCCCGTCTTCCTAAAGAAGAGGACAGCCCAGGAATTCTTCAGCATTGAGGGGAGTTGCTGTGGCCATCCTGGCTGGGGATGCACATCTATACCCCTAAAAGACTTTTCTCCATGAACAATCTTACCATGTAGTGTTTTGTGATTTCAGACAATTAATTGTCTCATTCACCAAAATAAATGGACAGACATATAAAGCCATCTTCCAGGAGCTAGTATTTTAGTTTACAAATTTATATATAAATTGAGAGTGGACTCAGATCAAAATGACAAGCAGTAGTTTGGTGCTAAGCTTATCCATAGCACCTTCCAACACTGCTTTTTTCTTCCAACACGAACCATCATTTAGAGTTGGGAGGTTCACTTCTCCCTTTTTATGGCCATATCTCAAAAGAAAATGATGCCTGTTGCCAAGTACATAAGACCTCTTGGCTAATTTGGACCAATGCAGTTGTTTGGAATGAAGCAAAGCCTGGCCTTTTATGAAATATTCAAAGTGTAGCAGTGCGCAACTCTTGTGACAGCACTGTGACTCAATTGGACAGATGACCCACATTCCCAGCTACTATGTGATATAGGCATAATGCCATACAGCTACTGATCACGTGCGTAAAAGGAGTCACCTACAACAGTTTCCCATCCCTTTATCTTTCTGCTCTTTATTTGTGCTGTAGCAAGGAGGTGTTTGATCATCTTCACTGGGCAATACAATGCCCAAGAGGATTTTTGTAACCAAAGTACCGGGCTCCATGTGGAAGAATGTGATTACCTGGGCAGGACCTGAGAAGAATGTGCCCTGCTAGAATGATCCCATGTGATACTGCTGCTTCTCATACATTCCCAATATGGTAGCCACAGGGCTAGCTTCTGTGCCTGATAGCATGTCCTGTGTAACTTTCAGGCATGACAAAAGACCAAACATACTAACTCATTCACCTGTGTGTTGAGATTCTTTAAGATTCAAATGAGAGACTGTAGAATGCATGTTACTCCAGCGAAGTATTGCATTCATACTTGACTCCTAAAAATGCTGAGTCTCTTTAATACCTCTTGGGAAAATGGGGCTCAACTAGTCACCTAGAGGCCAAGAGACAGTTGGAGTGCATCAGCTGGCCATGAATGCCATAAGCAGGCCTAACTAGCCCAATGCCATGGGTGTCCTGGCCATCTGTACCGCTTGACCTCCTGCATCATGAGGCTGTTGCAATAAACCTAATCCCTATCTTGTCTATCATGAGGCTGTGGCAATCAACCCATTCCCTGTCTTGTCTAAATGTCAGTGTATGGCTATACAATTATGAGAAGACAATCTTTTTAAACCAACCCAGTTCTATCAGAGGAAGAGAAAAATGTTTACCATCCTATGTTCCAATGCAGTGGACCTCTGGATCAGTTGCAATGCTACACAGGGAAAATTGTCAGTCATAAAAATCTGCACACTAAGGTAGCAAATCAAGATGATTACTGAAAACAAACACATGAACAAAAAATATGGTTCAGTTCTAACACATTGCTGGGATATGAGAAATCACAGCTTAACTTGTATGTAGCCCAGAAAGAAAGTTTGCAACTGGAGTTAAAGGTGAAAAGCTTACTTATACTTTGAAGAGCTTGTTTTGCAGAATAAATTTTAGATGAGGATAATTAAACCACTTCTTGGAAAACCGAGTCTGATTTCACTGGGCCTTTTAGTATATAAGATCTTTCATCAAGTGACTTTCATGGTCCTGATTGGAGCCCACTAATTATCCTAACCAGCTATTTTCATCGAGTGTGTGTCGTGGTGTGCTGACGTGCATATACATCTCAGCTCTACATCCCAAAATGCTGCAATCAATATTAATGTACTCGAAATCACACTTCCATCTGTTTCTGAATTAATAAAAACACAAAATAGATGTCCTTATTTCCCTTTTTCTTTTTCTTTCAGCAAAATGCTTCAAAAGTTGCTCAGATACAGTCTCCATGGGTAGGCAATGGAAAGTAAGTATCTCTCAAACAATTTCTTTTTCATGAAAATAACAATAAGCCCCAAATATTTTGCATTGACAATTTAATAATGAAGGTCAATTCCAAGACTATATTTATTCTTGCACACTTAGAATTCTAGCCAGGTTTCAGATGAGGGGAAGACAGAAAAGTTTAAAATAATGTGGCTCCACATTCTCTCACTATTTGATCTTTAAGCCAAATTATGGCCATAAAAATATGTGTTAATGAGATGGCAAGCACCAAGCCATTTCAGGGAGGCTGGGTAAAGTTAATTCCACTGCAGTGATTTGTCAATGATTCACTCAGTAATGAAAGACCAATGAAATATTCATTGATATATAGTAAGTGCTGTTTAATAAAACCAAAGGCATAATAGAACTGAAAATGTGAAGCCACTTAGTCCGCCAATTATCTGAGCCTTTGTGGTGATTTTTATATTAATACTAAAATACCCTGACCTGAAATATGAAAGCATCTATTCTAATGTCAATCTAAGACTCAGTGAACTCTCCCAGGCTTGCAGCAATCTGTGAGCCTCAGCCAGGCTCCACAGCAATGCAGTGGAAGTTAGGAGGAAACACTGATTTGAACCCAAGATTGCCCTAAATCCACAAGAGAAGCTATGTAGCACTTCGTCCTTTAGGATTGTTTTTCTATCTCTGAAATGAAGGAAGTAGACCTTGTATGGCCTACCAAAGAGACGAAGCATACTAAGGAGATGAATCCCACCTCTGTCACCACCACAATCCATCAAGGTACCTTGATTTGTTGGCTAACTTGCCTGTGTCTTGTCTGATTCCCAAATCTCCAAGCTCCCTTCCCACAAGTAGTAGGAAGAGAAATTAGATGTCTGTGACCAATACAAGTTCACTAATAGCTTGTTTTATGATTCTAAGCTGATTTTTCAATATTTCATCATCTCAAAATCTTTGCATCTGTGATCAAAACACTTTCTTCAAGAGTAAAATACTTTCTAAATAGATACAAAGCATACTCCAAAAGCAGTGTGACAGTGAAGTATACTTTGAGATCCTAAAAATGTCCAGCATGAAGGAACAGAGCCATTAAAACTACACATTAATTCAAATACTGTACTGAAAGGAAGCACTTATATTGGTGAAAAATGGGAAAGAACACTTCTCTGTAGAAACTCAGAGAACAAAAATAACCATTGAAAGCTAAGGGAGAGCCATTCTGTCTAAGCATAAAATGAAGCAAAGGAAGGGTCAGGTAAACAATTATTAAAGGGCCACTTAGAAAAAAAATCATGTTTTAGTTCAAAAATAATAGAACTTAAAGACATTCTAAACTTGTAAACTCACATTAAAAGCCCCATGAAATGATGTTTCAAAGCAGTTTCTGTCTAAAGAAAGTAGACTCTTCGGTAAGGTATTGATCTTACAATGGGACAATTCCAAAAGGTCTACTCTATTCATTCAACTAATGCTTCATGTACAACTGCTCTGTACCAGGCCCCATATGACAAGTAGGAACACAGAATTGAGCACAGAAGAGCACAGTCTGTGAAGGGAGGCTACCAGTGTAAATAAGCATGCTGTGGAAGCACAAAGGAACAGGTCAGGCCTTCCTGCAAGACCTGAGAAGTCCCCTTGTCTGTAAACAAGTCTAGCTTACCAGTGAATGAGGATGGGAGGCCCCATCAAAGATCTTTCACAACACCTTCTTGGCAGGCTCGTGATTGGAAAGCCAATTGTTCATGAGTAAAGGTGATCCTGGCCATCTTATTCATGAACTAGAACACAGGACAATATGTGGACAGATAAGAAAAGGGTTGATAATAGACTCTCAGGATCTACTCTCTAACACAACTGGGAGAAGAAAGTGCAGAAAACTAATATGAAAGAGAAGGAAAATTTCCTTTGTATAGGTCAGGCATTAAGAAACTACAAGTGGTTTTTTCTTTCTTGCTATTGTTTCTAACCTATTTATAAGGTGATTTCTTTGTTGTTTTGTATGTCCCTCCCCCACGTTATAACCCCTGCTTTCACTGTATTTGATGTTGGTATAATTTGGGGAGGGGAAGGGAAAAAACAAAGTGTTTAAATAGGGATACAGGTGGACCCATTGCAACAATGAAATGTATAAGATGCTATGTCAAAAAATGAACCTTACAACTTTAGTGGGGGGGGGGGGATGTAGTCGTGGAAATGGAAAGGGAGGGATGGCAGTGGAAAAAAAGGAGGAAGCAACAGTGCTTGATAAGAAATGTACTCATTACCTTGCTCATGTAATTGTAACCCCTCTGTACAGTATTTTCACAGTAAAAAATTTATTAAAAAAAGAAACTACACATTTCATATTTTGAGCTTTGTGGGATCAAAGCTATAAGCAAGGCTAATATCTAGAAGGATTTAAGAAAAAATCACAGCATCATTATTGATGAAATTCAAACTATAAATTTAATTAACAGTACATTATAAAAATCTTGTGTTTCCATTTCTTGAAATACATTTTGATAAGCTTCATTTTTTGTGGTCATATACACCTAACTATTGAGCCATTGTGATCCTCTGCTAAGAACATCATAGACATATTCTAATTACTACAAATGAGGGAAGCCACATAGCCTGTGTTTCTTTAGGTCTGGCTTGCTTTGCTTAATGATTTTTTTCTTCCGAATCTTCCTATTTCCTTACAAATGGGGCAATGTCATTCTTTCTGATGGAATTTCATTGTGTATACAGACCACATTTTCTTGATCCAATCATTTACTGGGAGCATCTGGGTTGATTCCTTATGTTAGCTATGGTAAATAATGCTGTAATGAGCATAGTTGTGCTGGTAGCTTTAATGTGGTCTTATTTATGTGGTCTTATTTGGGTAAATGCCCAGGCATGAGATTGCTGGGTAATAGGAAGCTCTAGGTTTATTTTTTTTGAGGACCCTCCATACTGCATTCCAAAGTGGTTGAACAAGTGTATATTCCCATCAACAGTAGAGTACTGTTCCCTTTTGACTACATCCCCACCAGCATCTGTGATTATTAGTTTTGATATTGGCCATTCTAACTTGGGTGAGGTAGAATCTCAATGCTCTTTTGATTTGCATTTCTTTGATGGCCAGAGATGTTGAACATTTCTTCATGTATCTATTAGCCATTTGTATTTCTTTAGAGAAGTTTCTCTTTAAGTCTTTAGCCCACTTATTAATGGGGTTGTTAAACTTTATCAAAATGAATTCCAAGAAATGGGAACAGATTTTTATAATGTACTACTTGCAGTTATTTCTTTACTCTTTCTTTTTTCTTTTGGTTTATACCATATTGTCATTGTTTTTTTATTTCTGTACATTTTGTCTTGTATATAAGTTTAGCTGATTTAAGGAAGGGAATGAGAATCACAGAAACGGTGAGATAAAGAGTGAACCAATGCAACAGTGATATCACTAGACACTATGTTGGAAATAAACTTTACAACTTGGGGGAGAGAGGAGTCAGGGGGAAGTGGGAGAAATGAGGGTGAGTAACACTATTCAAAAAGAAATGCACCCATTATCTTATATAAGTATAACCCCTCTGTACATCACCTTTACAATAAAAATTAAAAAATAAAAATTAGTTAAGTACATTTTTGAAAAGCAAGTTTATTAATGCATAGAATGGAATTCTTTTTTAAATATAAGTTTTCTTAATTAAAGTTCAAATTTAATTATCATTCTCATCAAATATATTGCAAATTTACTTCTCCAACTATCTGTAGCTCAGAAGCCATATAAGAATAGGAGATGACCTGAATTTACAGATCCATAGTGTTGAAAACAGAAAGGCATGATATAGAGAATTTAAAAACCCTGGACAAAAATCTCCAGTGTCATGAAGAGACAATAGAAAGAAATAAAGCAAGGAAGGCAACTGATGTTGGAAACAAAGAGGTCGTTTGAGGCCTTCAGAAGAGCTATTTTAGTAAACAGAAAACTATCAGTACTGTATTGAAGGTGTAAGAAGGGATACCTCCATACTTTGGAGACACTGACCAGTCCAAAGAATGAAAAGTATGAAAGTCACTGGAGGGATCATTCAGGTTAAGTAAAAAGGAAAACATCTCCTACCGTAGGCACCAGTGGCTCACATTGTAAACTTAAGTTCTTGGGGACTGGGAGTAGAAGGCTGATGTTTTGTGGCTAGCCTGAGCAAGGAAAGCTCATAATCCCCTATTACATTAGAGGAGCAGCTAAACCAGCAAAAAAGAGGTGTGGTTCAAGTGTTAGAATGCCAGCTTACCAAGTAAGTCTCAAATGTGGATGCTAGTACCATGAAAATATAAATAAGTTTAAAAAACACCCACATGAACAACATACTTATAGAGGACTGTTGCTGGTGGGGACACAGATGACATACACAAACCTGAGAGAGTACTAGAAAAGAACCAGTGTAGATGTGGACACAAAGGTGAAAATGAATACAACTCAAGTGAAATCTTTAGTAGAGTGGATAATAAGATGGAGTAACATAGTGGAGTGGAAGGAGAATAGGTTTTGGAGAGAAACAGATAGGCTGTCAAATCCTGGTTCTTTGGCTGATGTTCTGTGTGACACCTAGGAAAGAGCTGACCTGCTTTTCTGAGGCCATTTTTATCATATATGAGACAATAGGCAGCAGAAATTTCCTTGCAGAATTTTCCTTATGAGGAGGATTAGACATAATGCTGATGGATGGATGAAAGCTATGCATGCTGCATAGTAGGTTATCAGCAAATGGTGGCTACAGCTATTAGTGACATTTTCTTTTTTAGTGGAAAACATAAGGATCCTACATCCAGAACTCTTAAAGCTCTTGATCGACGCATCTCTTGATATTTACTGTAAAATACCAGAAAGTAGTAGGCTTTTATCCTTTATTAAACTGTGTGTTCTATTTCAAATGGCTGGTCATCCACCATTTCAATCATCAAATGTTTACTGTGTCTATTTCATATGAGACACAGTGCCAGGCCCTTTACAGTCCTCATGCTTGTGTTACATAGATTCTTCTCTTTTTACCTTGTAGAGCACATTTTATGAAGTAATGCTAAGTAGTATTGACAAATCATTCACTTAGTCCACTTGTACTTACTGAATGCATAATATATAATAAGCACTTTTCTAGATGCCATGGTATAGCATAGCACAGAATAGAATATTTTTTAAAAAATCCTTGAGGAAGCAACAATGCTTGATAAGAAATGTACTCATTACCTTGCCCATGTAATTGTAACCCTCTTTACGGTATTTTCACAATAAAAAAGAAAAAGAAAGAAAAGAAATCCCTGATTCCACTGAGGTTATATTCTGTTGGAGTAACAAAAAGAAAACTACGTGATATGGAAACATGTGGCTCGTGCTTCCTAGCTACTCAGGAGGCTGAGATCTGAGGATCATACTTCAAAACCAACCTGGGAAGAAAACTCTGTGAGACTCATCTCCAATTAACCACCAAAAAGCTGGAAGTGAAGATGTGGCTCAAGTGGTAGTGTGATAGCCTTAGGCAAAAAAACTTTAGGGACAGCACCTAGGCTCTGAGTTCAAGCCCCAGGATTGCCACACACACACACACACACACACACACACACACACACTAGATGATGTTTAGTGATATGAATGGACTAGAAATAAAGATAACAACAAGGTCTAATGGAGAGAGGAGAAAGAACAGTGATAGAGTCATGAACAGGTTTATTAGAGAAGGACAATGTGGAACAAGCCATGCAAATATTTAGGGGATATATATTCCTAGAGAGAGAAGAGGACAGGGTTTGGCAGATAAGTTCAAAGTAAAACAAGAGACTGATCATAGTTATAAGGTGAGCAGGATAGCAGGTTGGATGAGGATGATCAAGTGGAAGTGGTGGGAAGCATGTGCTACTGTGTGCATGCTCATTGCTGTGTACCTTGGAAGTGTGGAGGAAAGGACAATACTTATCAATGGACATGCAGACTGAGCTCTGGTGTGGGCCAAGTGAATGAATATACCAAGACAAGTGAACTCTGCTCTAGCCCTCTGTTTTTTCCACAATCATTATTTCTTATGAATCTTTAATATTTCCCTTTCATTAGCACAATGTGATATATAGATCAACTTATCAGCATCAAATCATAGAATTTAGTACAAGAACATGAACAGTTGTTTTAGCTTCCATATGTAAGTGCAAAAAAGCATTTTAAAATAAGTGAGGTAGAGACAATATTAGTTTTCCATTAGTTTCTTCTTTTTTATATTAAGTACTGGTAGAAAGCATTTTTAATTCAACATGTCAGTTTATAGAAACAATATATCTTGATCAATGTCACCACTTGGATCCTATGGACATGATGGGAAGTTATGAAATCAATCTTTTAATTCAAGGTAGGAATGTAACACTGAACAAGAAGAAGGGACATGCATGGTGGCACACAGCAATTTGGGAGCAGGGCTGGAGCTGGAAGCCAAGTCTCTTGGGATTAAACAACTGTGTGGACCTTTTTTCAACATTTGTGGCACTTGACAGCTTTGTCCCTTTTTCTAGACATTACAAATGAGAACATATTCCTCTCTTACATAAATTGACAGAACTTAATGACCACTACTGGGACAAAGGACTCGAAAATAGTATTTACAACCCATCATACCAATAAAACAGCATTCACTGTTTGTTTGATTTGGGGGGGGGTTGCTCTCAAGTACCCTTTCTGTACTGTAGTCCCTTAACTTAGATTTCTCCCCCACTCAGTCCTGCCTTGAGAATCCAACATTGTATCAAGAAGTAAAAAATTGTAATGTATACTTCATACTTAAGAAAAAGTAAGGGAACAGGTGCCTCAAAGACAGGTGAGAATGTTGAAGAAGATGACAGCATCGATCAAGATGCATTGTATCAATAAACGTCTTTGTTAAATGGCACCTCCTTTGTACAACTACTTAAAGATAACAATTTACAGTTAAAAATACCTCCACATTAAAAACAGAACAAGAATATTCTCACTATTCTACTCCTAAGCCACAGAAGTGCAGAGATAGTGTGACATTCCACCTTCCCTCTCACACCAGAGCATGCCAGAACATACATACCATTGGCACAAATGTTCCCTGTGGCTGTGGGCACAGTCTGTGCTAATCTGCAGGAGAGGATTTCAGTGGTAATTGTTCCCACTGCTCTTGGAGCCAGTGAGCAGCACTTCAGCATTTTAGCACATGTGATTGCTATTCCCTCAAATCAAATGGATGTGTTACCCAACAGGGTGTACAGTCATTCTGTGAGCAGGTGTAGAAGCACAGTCACAACTCTTCAAATATAGGGCTGCTAACACCAGCAACTGGTAAGGGGATGGTGAGAGCAGGAATGAACTAGGGCTCCTTGTTAATGTGCTGGGGTAGAGAAGAGTTTCTTTCTATCATACAGATTCTAGGAGTCCTAGATAAAGTTTTTCACCATTTATATTGCTTATTTACTCTTCTTGATTTAGAGACAGGGTCTCACTGTGTTGCTCAGGATGACGTCACACTCCTAGCTCAGGGAATCTTCCCATTCAAGTAGCTGAAATTACAGGTGTATATTATAACACCTGACTCCCCATTTTTCACATCCTTAAAGTGTTTGTCTTCCTGATAAAATGGGTAAAGTGCCCTAAAAATCATTTGACGTATGACTGAGGAGGAAAGTAAATGATGAACACACAGATGTTGCTCCTGTGCACAGGAAGTCACCCAGACATTCAAGAATGTTCTTAGAAGGGCCGGCAGCAGGCAACCTAAACCCAGACCTTGGGAGAAAATTTATCTCCACACTGTGTGCAGCCAGCAGGTTACGTCCTCATGATCGATGTTGAAGAATTTAATAAAAACCCATGGATGGAAATGCCAAAAATGAGAGTACTTGTCTTATACCATTTTCTCTGTTAAAAACAAATGTTCCATTGAACACCGAACTTCTGAAATAAAAACATATACCAAGTAAAAAAAAAAAACCCATGTCCAAAAACATTTACTGCATAAAGTAGGAACTCGGAAGGCTTCTCTTTACAAAGCAGCGTGCAGATGAACAGTCACCAATTAACAGCACACATCTGTCCCATATCTAAAGAGATTCAGCTTCCTGTATTCTCCCCTGCTTCCCTAATACTGCCCCTTGCCCTGGAGGGCTTTAGGAACTATATTTTGGTCATTGTAATTGTATTCAAATGTTGCAACAAGGATACAGGTGGACCCATTGTAACAATGAGATGTACAAGACATTATGTTGAAAAAGAACTTTACAACTTCAGAGGGAGGGGGAGGGAGGAGTTGAGGAGGTGGGAGAGAAGGGATGATAGGGGAAAAACAAAAGAGGGGGTAACAATGCTCAAAAGGAAATGTACTCATTACCTTACTCATATAACTGTAACTCCTCTGTACAGTATCTTTACAATAAAAAGAAAAGAAAACCAGGCAGCCACTTGGTGGTAAGTAGCAGGATTGTGGTCTGAGGTTGCCTCCCCCCAAAATACCAGACCTAATCCAAAAAATAATGAAAAAAATACTGTCACTTTTGTTTCCACAAAACACTATTGCACATCAAGTGTTTTCTAACTGCCAGTTGTTGTTCTAGCAGCAGGTAGAGAAATCAGAGCTCAGATTTGTTTCTCTCTCGAAAACACTGTCACTTGTCAGATATATTCAACATAAAGGCTACACATGTGAACCAACGTAATGACAGTGAAAGATCCAGACGGCTTTTCCTGGTATTTGGGAGCAAATACAGCAGTATGTATGGAGCCCTCCATGATTGTCAGAGGCAGTGAGGATTTTAGTGTTTCAGGTTAGAAAATGAGAATGGGCTCATTCTCCAGTCTAACATTGATGAGTTGGGTCTGTTATAATGATCATCTATTTCTATACCAGAGTCTCTGGAGAAAAGTCTAGGATATATTGTGGACAGGAACACTGGAATTGGGGAACAGCTGCTCTCCACCAGTTACATCTCCCATACTGGGATTACTTTGACAATTGGTAGTCTGAGGAGATCCCAGTGTGATGAGGGAACTTGCCGGCCCTCTTCCCTGCCAATCTAACAAGCCCCACCTCTTTCCCTCCTTCAGGAACACACCATCCCCTGTGTCTCTCCACAACGTCTCTCCGATCAACACAATGGGGAACTGCAACAATGGCCCTGTCACCATTCCCCAGCGCATTCACCACATGGCTGCTAGCCATGTCAACATCACAAGCAATGTGCTGCGGGGCTATGAACACTGGGACATGGCCGACAAACTGACAAGAGATAACAAAGGTATGCTCATCTGCTCTCCCCACTGCTCACAGACGGACATGGAGTTACCCGGGCTTGGAAGAGTTGAGTTGTTCTTGGTAGTCTTTTATCTTGCAGTCTCATTTCCAGGTCTTAGATGAGAGGAGTTGAGCTCAGGGTTGACACAGTGACCCATTTGTACTGAGAGAGTGAAAATGAAAGCTGGAAATTTTGTTCCCTTGTACAGTTTTAAGTAATCAGAACAGTGATGTTTTGGCAAATATTTCTGCATTTCACTTTGTGCCAAAGATCAACACAGAGAAATAGAAGCAAATGCAAGAAATATGGTTGGCACATGAAGATGCTGTTGGCTTCTATGAAATTAATTTCTCTCTTTTTTTGTTGTTGAGAAGTAAGGTGGATCTGAGGTCATCTGTCTCCATTACCATGATCAACTGCACTTGAATACATGATGCTGTAGCTTCCACTTGCAATAAGGAGCAAAGCTCAGCTACTATTTCATGTGTGTAGGAATTGGATAAAGGGAACATGGGAGGTTTGTCACAGAACAAATGCAAAGGGGGCTCTGCTTCACCAGAAATTTAGTCAATAATCATTAGTGACTCATGCTGCCATCTGAGACCTTAGCTATTGAAACTATTACAAAACCACACTTTTGTATAGTTGTACACAGTCACTGGACATGACTGCTTCTAGCCCAGCAGTCATAGACTGTCAATGTGGGGACAGATGTGGGCTTTTCTAGATCAGAGTCCAAAAACATGACAAGCAAGCTATAGTGGTAGAAATACGTGCGTAGTAATGTGGAGATACTAGCTTCCTCTCTGGTTTGAGCTTCATGAAATGAACTTGGGGACTATGTAGAGGATGTAAGCCACATATGTGAAGACGAAAGTTCCTAGGGATTTGAACACGAAGAAATTGATGGGCCTCCTGGCCCAACTGTCCTCCTAAGCTTCAGTGTCCTCCCTGCAAAGGCAGTCCCTTCTTAGCCACAAATGCACCAGCATTTCAGATTATTCCTCTTCTCACCTTTATAACTTACTACAATTCATGAATTACTTCCTAGTTTTTCACTTATATAATGAATATAATATAGATGATCATGACAAAGATGATGGTGAAACCACCACAAAAGGTAATAGAGATGGATGAAATGTGTAAAGCTTGTGGCGTAAAATATTGCCTGCAAGATCCTACAAATAACTGCCCTTTCTTTGCTCTGTACTATTAGGTGTACATAATATATATTAAAGCACATCTCAAAATTTGAGACTTTGATCCAGAACCTAGCCTCAAACTTATACAGACTCTGGGAATGTGTACATATATTGGTTACATCTGTTTGTCTCTTAGGAACTAAACTATTAGCTTTCTTCTTTGTCATCTCTTATTCATTTTTCCCTATTGTATAGCTGAAGAAAGGCGAGTTTCTATGAGGTTAAGAAACTCGCCTACGATAGCAGAGCTTTCAGTGTTTGCTAGAAGCAGGAACTGAATGTAGAAATTCCTGATTCTACATTCTCAACTCTTTACCAATAGGGTGCATTGCACATCTAGGAAGCAAGATTAGAAGCAGGTCCTCTGAGCTCTTTGGTAGGATCTTGAATGCAATTATCTCAGCAAGGGCAATTTTGCCTTGTCTGTCTTTGTAGACATCTGAAAACTCAGAGGAAACTGACCCACACAATCAAGCCCATCCAAGATTCTAAAATTTCAGGCAAAGACATAGGCATGTTAAGATTTATCTAGCTATTTTGGCGCCACTTTGTCATATTTTCTATTGCTAACTTGAGGGTCATTCGATATTTATGAATTTTCTTTATAATTGCATCCATTTTCAAACCTGTTAAAGTAATTCATTCTAAATTAACTGCATGCCTTTTCAGAAGTGACATTGTGGTTGTGCTGATGGTAGGGTGAAATGATGCTAATCTTGTCATTAGCACAGCCTGTCAAGGACTTGCTAAATTCTCTGCCTAATGTTGAATCAAAACAACTTCATTATTCTACAACATAGAGGATTCATCCCACTAATGCTGACACTGAGTTTTCAGTGGACTAGAAAAAGCTTCTAGTTTGAAATATTCTCCTCATGGCCTGAGTTTCCCACACAGGTTATTTCTGATCTGCTTAGATTTGAGGATTCTTCTCACATCTGGTTTGTGCAGATAGAAATCTCAGAACTAAGGAGTTTCTCTTTGGTAGGAGCCCTATATCCCATGGTAGACAACTGTGTCCTTGTACTTTTTTCTACACAATTGTGTCATGGAGATGGATTAGATGTAGTCTCTCAGTAAAGGACCAATACCCTTGCCTCATGCCTGCCCACCCATGCAGTTCCAGATAGCTATTGCAGAAAATTGTGGTGTCAAAATTGTCCAATGGGGCTAATGCTGTCCTTTGATCTTTGGTGTAGCAGCCTTGCTCTCTACTTTCCACAGCTACACATCCTATTTCTTGAAGACATCACTATAATGGTGACCTGAGTGTCTAGATAAGGATGTCAAAAAAAACCTCACAGAACTCCCAGAGAGTATTCAGACTTTCTATGAAGCTTACATCTATCCAACACGGACTAGGTCCTTTAATATTTTCCTTGCTATTATATTACCTAAGGAAATATTTTAGATGCCAGAAACAATACAGTTCTTTTAGCAAAAATTACTTTTATTGCATAGCACAGGTTAAAAAGTATGCCATAATCAAATGAAGTTGATACCTCCTGAAGGAGCCCATATGTTACACATAGCAGGAAGAATAAATGCATTGTTTTACTGAAATACCATCTGCCAAGCAATCAGGCATATATAAACCATGCATGGAAATTGCTTTCTAAGAAGGCCAGAGCATATATACCAACCAATCTAGGACACACTATATTTCCATCTTTCATCTGCCCCAGACTCTCTCTTGGGGGAAGCTAACAAAGAAGACTCCAGCTACAGAGCCCACTCATAACCAAATATAAGACAAGCAAACTCAAGTATGGCAAAGAGATTCCTAGCTATTTCTTAAACATCACAGAGATTTCCCATATATGCATCTCACCCAAGATACACATTGTAATATTCTACACAACCAGTAGGTAGCCTCTCATGACTGTACCTTTCCCCAGTCATCCAGTAGAAATCCGCTGGGCATTCTTTTTTTTTTCCATTGTGGGGCTTGAACTCAGGGCCTGGGCACTGTCCCTGGGCACTTTTGCTCAAGGCTAGTGCTTTACCATTTTGAGCCACAGAACCACTTCCAGTTTTTACATGGTTAATTGGAAATAAGAGTCCCACGGTGACTTTTCTGCCTAGGCTGGCTTCAATCTACAATCCTCAGATCTCAGCCTCCTGAGTAGCTAGGATTACAGGCATGAGCCACAGGAACCTGGCTAGCTGGACATACTTAACATTCCTATCTAGAGAGGTGGAGGGACTTGCTAGGTAAAAGATACTTGTAGGTCATTTTCCATCCCTAAAGTAATCGGTTGTAAGACTTTTTATATCAGATTCTTCCAAGAATTATTTGGTTGTATGCTGGTGACTATATTTGCTGTTCAGAGTCACTGGCTTCATCTGCATCATGCCAAGAAAAATTAGTAGACTCAGTTCATTTAAACAAGAGGAAAATGTATTTTTATAGTACATAGAAGGAAACACAGTTGATATCAGATATTAAATGCGATGTGATATCTGAAAGGGTCTTTTTGTGTATATGGTCTGATTTCTAAATATAAATTTGTAGGATATGTGCTCATTATACAATATAAAATATATTTGAATAGATTTAAAGGTGTAATTGATGCATGCATTTTAATATGTAAATAACATGTTATATATAAACTTATATAAATATGCAGGCAAATACTTACATATTTTATATATATGGATGTATATAAGACAAACTTCCACAGGATTATAATGTACTTCAGGAATATGCTATAAAATATATAGTGTAAAAATATATAACCTATGAAATATGTAATGATTTTGTAAAACTTACAATGAATTAACAGATTTAAAGAGATTTTGTTTAATTAATCACAACAATACAAATACTATTCATGCTTCTGAGTTCTTTGGAGCTCCATAAAGATTAACACAATAGTGCTTGACATGCATGTGGAATTTTGCTCCCTTAGAAAGCACTCTATTAATTTTTGTTGAATGAATGAACAGATGGATTAACAAGTGGATACCTTTTCCACTGTGCATATTATTGTGGTGTGATGTAAAGACAGTTTCTTCACTTGGTGCATATTTCCAAGGTGTTATTTGAACTACTCACCCAGGATTGCTCTGCTTTTCAGAATTCTTTGGCGATCTGGACACATTGATGGGGCCCCTGACCCAGCACAGCAGCATGACCAATCTTGTCCGCTACGTTCGCCAGGGACTGTGTTGGCTGCGCATCGATGCCCATTTGTTGTAGTGGGTGCTCTCCTATGTCTAGCATCACTGCCCATCACCCTACCTCTACCAGCGTACTGATGGTCACTGGTGGAACCTCAAGCATCTGGGATAGTTCTCTTTGGTTGTGTTTGTTTTTTTTATGTTTCTTTTGATATCTGTGAAAAACTGAAGTCATTGTAAGTGGACACTACAACTTGAAAGCCTTGTTATGTTTTATTACCTTTGAGTTTTTGATATGCATCTCTCAGATCCTGACATCTTTATGGAAACGATAGTCCCTACAATATCATTTTAAGGCCACACTGCCCAACACAATGAATGGGAAGCAATTGTGACAATAATGGGTCCCTGAGCATTGGAACAAGTGATTTGATATGCCAATGAAAACTTGTACAAGAGGGACCTTGCAAAGATTTTCAGCAGTAGCTATCCCCCCGAAACTATAGCATTATATCCAAAATAAGAATGTATTTCAGAATCCACTGTTCAACTTCTGTGGTTCCCACATATTACACCTTCAGGTGAGAATTTTTGTTGTTAATCCCACCCCCAGTTAGATGTTATAGCAACATCATAAAATCAAGGAGCATATCAAGGGGGGAAAAAAAAAGAACACAATAACGATACTCCTGAAATGATGCTATGCCTCACAGAGGGCTTTGGTTAGCATCCTATTTCTAATTCCTTATTTTTGAAGAAAAGATTTTAATGATGGAAAGGAAATGCAACATTTATTTAGACTACTTTAGGCATCAGCTGGCACAAATATTTTTGAACTTCACATACTGCAAATATTTTTGAAGCTTATATCCTCACCTGGAATCCCTTTGTGCCAAACTGTCCTCCTCAGGAGCAGCTTGGTAGATGCATGCCTTAGTAGCCAAAATGCTACATTTATCTTAAGTTGGGAGATGCGACAGGACTGGAAAACATCTGACACGGATTTCGCACCTCTGCCTCCTTTGCAGTCAGGAGGCAGGATTTTAAACTGTGTTTTGCTCATATGTCTACAAACAAGAATCAATTACTACTACTACTACTACTACCTAGAAGTCATAATACATAATTTGATTCGTAGAAGTTTCAGAACTGAACCTAACTTCCTCAATAATTATCCACATTTTCTATTTTAGGAGGTTATTTTTTCTACACTTTTCTTTCATCTTTTTTCTTTTCCCTTTTTTTAGCTCATTAGCTTTTGAATGAAATACAACCACTGATTTTATGAGTGAATAATTCCCATGAAAAGTCCAAAGAAAACTCCAAACTCTGTAAGTAGTTACTAACGTTAAAAAACTGAGTTGGGGTCATGCTTCACCCTGGAGTGCTTTGCTTAGAAAGAACCCTGATTATTGAGACCTGTTCACCTAATTTGGACCATTTCTTTTTAAAATTATCAATATATTCCCTCCTTATGATCCTTTCCATTCATCTTATGCCCCTAAACATCACCATGTAAATATCATCTTTGGTGTTCCAGCCCATCAGAAGAATCCCACACTGTAGTAAACACTAGCCATGCATTAGTTACTTATAATTACCTGCTGGCATATAATTCCATGTAGCCTTTAATCTGCTGAGTTGTTGAATTCTGTTCACTGAGTTATGACCAGATGAATAATAGATATGCACATGAAAGATGCAAACTTGTATGATTTCTAAAGCAAGTCATGCAGATCTGTGATGGGAGCAGCAGGTGATCACTGCACAATCATTGTCAAGGTTAGATATATTCCCAGTTGCAAGAGAGCCAGATGTGAGCTCTGTTCTGGTCATCTTTGAGTCTAAAGCCCTTTGTTGTATAAGGTGGTAAAAGTTATACTTCAATGGCAAATGCCATGTTGCTAATGTGGCTGATGGGAACATCCCAGCAGCTGAACCCTGCACTTTTAGCACTCTCAACATGGTTGAGCTTTTTTGTTTACAGTCTCAACAATCCTTACACTTGCACATACATGCACCCATACACATGTACTCACATACAAGTGAAAGCTGAATCTTTGCTCAGCCTCCTAAATGAGGAAAAGGAAACTATGAGAGACTCTAAACCCCCGAAGTGGGTTTCACATATCAAAACTAAGCTGATGACTTTGCAGTGACTCAAGTTCTCTATTATCCATGGCTTGCCAGGTACACTACCTGGCTATTACTTTCTAATGAAGACTATTGGCTTTACTTGTAAGTTCAATCTCGACCATGATCTTAGACCATCATAGACTTAGGAATAGATTCTCCTTGAAATCCAATCTCCCATAATGACAAATTAAAAGACTAGGGGCAGTTTCCAGAGAAACAAATACATTGCCCCATGGATAAAAGATTGATAGCTCCAGTTTCAACAGCGTGTTGTATCTACATACAAACAACAGGGAGGCAAGAGGATTCGCTGTCATCTGTGATGGCTGAGTGTGTGCCAAATCAGCAGCATGATTATATCAAATCTGACAGTTGAGCTCTGGAATTTCACCTGATTACTTAGTAGACCCATTTTCAATGCGGCTTAGACACCAATTAAACTTGGAGGAAGCATTACCTTTCCTATTCCTGGAAATGAGGCATCATTTGTTTCATGACCAAGGAATGTTGCTGTGTTTTAGGCACTCTGTTAATTACCTTGTACAGGCTGATGTGCATCCGTAGTGTGCAGCTATTTGAGAGGTTGAGGGATTGAGATGTTTTGTTAAGTGAATCTCTTCAGTGTGCCAGTTTGTGGAGGAAAAAAAGACAGGCGGATGGTAGTGAAAGATTGTGCCTCTAGACCTTGGTGGAGGCTTGGAGAGACATGTCTTAAAAACATGTGAAGGTAAGGGAATGGGCAGAGTAACAAGCAGTTCTATTTGAGCAAAGATAAGGAATACTCTTCGCCCTGCCATGTGACCCAGATTGGGCCACCACTATGCCTTCATTTGTCACTCAAGCTCCAACCGCAAAGAGTCTGACAAGTTTGTGTTATAATGTTGGCTTGGCTTTGTGTTTTTAATTAGTTTTGGATTTTTTAGTGGTTTCGTCATATTACTATCTGAGTTTGGTAGGTAGGGTTAATTTGAAAAGAGTTTACTAGTGTGGTCCTTGGGGTAGAATTTAGCTGTAAGCATGTTGTTAGCCAGCCCATAGACTGTTAATAATAATCTCATTGGGAACGTACTAGTAGATTTATCTTCAGAGGACAAAATTGGAAAAGCAGATTAGCTATTGCTCCTTTTAAAAGACTTGAACTTGGGATGCCTTGTACACATATTTTCAGAACAAGTTGTAAAAGGTAGAAACCGTTGGTTAAGATGTGTTTTGTGGCATTTCCAAATGGATGGACTTCCATTTGGACTTGGCATTGCAAAATGTACTGGATTTGGTCTACATCGGAAAGATTCTTGTTCTATCATATCGTTCCTGAATCAGAACTTGTTTCATCCAAATTCGCATCCCAGAAGCTCAAGTTGGAGTTGGAAGCTGGAAAGTATTTCTGAAGGCATACTTGAGAGTTGTGAGAGGGCAGCCCCCGTCTTACTTCTCAACAGACATGAGAAAATTCACCTGCATGGTTTAGCAGGTGGCAAAACCAAACTGGATCACTGGGTGTGATACTCAGTAAAGAATGAACTGCTTGCTTAGAGCAGCACTAGCCCCATTGAGAAAAATGTGTGGCAAGGTGAGATAGCTACACAATGTCCAACAGATGGGTCCATTCAGTGCCCTCAAATTCTATTCTGTTGGGGGAAAATACTTGAGCCAGTTGTCTGTGTTGTGTTACAACTGGCAGACTAAATTCTTTGTCGTCGTCGTTCTTGTTGTTGCTGTTGTTGTTTCTCATTTCCACTCGCACAGCCAGCCTTATTCTCATAATTAAACTCAGATTCATTTTCTCTTTGGTGTTAGCAAACTCCAACAACAGAAATGGCATCTGTGTATTGGTAATCAACATTTACTCTGGCAAGAGACTCAGCAGACAAGCTGGTCTCAGATATTAGTCCTACCATCTGATATTTCCAGCAAAAGAAAAAGTATTAGCTCCCTTTCCATTCTCCTCCTCACAAATCCAGAATCCTCTTTACCAAGTCCATCGCATTTTCTCTGTAATCTTTTAACAAATAAAGAATACTGCATTGTGGGGAGGACACAGGGGGGTGGGGGTTGGGGGTGGGGGGTGGGGAAGCCCCGGGAGGCCAGACTGCAGTTCATACCCCTTCCTGCTTCGGAAATGAAGTGTTAACGAATCACTCATAGTGCTCACATTGGCTTAGGGGACCCTGAACTGCTCTTCAGATCCATGCTCAATCATTCTGAAATTGGAGCTTTGCTGTTTCATTAACTGTGCAGTGTAGACTAATGGTGTTTAATAAAAATCATTCAAAAGTTCAAACTCTTTTGCCAGTGACCTCAATTTTGTTGGCTCTTTGATTGTATCAAAATGTGAGGAGGGAAAGTGGAAGCCAAGGAAGCTGCTTAGTAGGCCCATGGCTGCAAGCAGTGAGCAGTGAGCAGTGAGCACCAAGCACAACAGCAGTGGGACACTTCCTGAAGAATGACCAAGTGACTTGGAGATGCCTCATACCTATAGGGGACTCACCATTCTCCAGTGTCCACCGGAGGAAACCAGCTACCCTATCCTGGAGATAATTTCAGATGATTTACTATTTGGTTCTGTCCGGTATCACTTGTGTGGCTACCAAGTAGAAATATCTGAGAGAAGAGCCTGGTGTGGCAACCATGACTAAATACCTCCCCTTTCTCCCCTCCCCGCCCTGATGCTTAAAGTCTTCTGTACTATGCTGGGAAGAAATTTGGCGACCAGGTAAAACAAAGCAACTCATTTGTAGCACCTACCTACTTCCATGATATAAAATTAGCTCTTGTCATCATGGCTGATTTCAAGCTACCAACTGAGACATCGCTGAACACAAGTTTGGGAGCAGAGGCACATCATCCACTCTTGTGAGCCTGGACAAGGCAGGACCAAAACAATACTGGAGGCAGCCAAAGAATGTTGAGATTGCACACATATGCTCATGTGCAGCCACACATACCCACACCCACTTCAGTGAGTAAAACTGTTACCTTGTTCTAAAATATGAATGAATCTTCAGTGAATGTACATAGTTTATGATGAGGGCCTGAAAGAATGGGATATTCTGGGAGCAGGAGATAGCTGGAAGGAATGAAAACCTCTATAGCTGAGATGACAGATGAATCAGCTCTGGATACTGATATACCATATCTCACAGGTAAAATGGAAGTAGATAAAC